ATGGCAGAGTATGGAGGCTCTAGTGGGAGAGGAAGGCTGTCTATCTGACAATTTTATATTCATGCTCAGAATCCAAGGAACTCAGAAAGCAAGCAACTGCGACCAGTAATAGTCATATATATAGAGATTAGAAATGCATTTGAAAACGTCTCAATGTCAATTGCCTTAAAATGAATTTTTCTGTATGAAACTGTGTATTTTAACAACGAAGTGGAGATCTTTTTTCAATGTTAAATCCTCATTTATGTCTTATAGAGTTTACAACAAGTAAAAGATTGTATAAGCGTAATAATTCATCTGTAAACCTAAAAATGTACAGCAAATTTTGAAAGAGATGTACCCTAGCTCAGAAAAACTGTTATTGAATAGGTTAATGCTGTTGTAATGAAATGCTTCTTCTAATTAAAAAAAAAGAAATAATCAAATCTAAACAGTTAAAAAAATAAAATAAAATCTTTTAATAAAACAGAAAGAAAAAAAATACGTGAAGAGTCTGCCTAGGAAAACACTCAGAGCTATGTGAAACCTATAGATCTAAGTTCTAAGGCCTAGGTAAAGCTTTTGGGGGGCTTTAAGCAAGAAATAACATGATCATGTTTGCCTTTTAAAATGATAACTTTGTTGTTGTTTGTAGATCTGAGATTAAATCCCGGCCCTGTATGTGGCAGGCAAGTGCTCTTTCACTTACTGTACACTCAGTCCTTAAGAAGCTAATGATACAAAAATATCATAGTAAGGTATTCTTATGAGAATACCGAAAATGTTTTTCAGCGTCCAGTGGTAAGTTATTTAACAAGGTAATGTGCTTATTGTGTGTGCTTTGAGAAGTTGTAATTAGCAAAATAATTGAAGGGCTTTTATGTGTTTCAGGTTAATTTAGTATGTGTCCAGTGCCTAAGAGATCCAGAGGCATTTAAGGAGTTGTGCTGTGAAATCATGACATGTAGAAAAATGCTTTTGCCTATGGCCTATTTAGAACAAAATTTTGAAGATATGTCGAGAGTTATCTTTAAACCATGTCAGTTGTCAGTTATTGCTATATAAACCCAGCAGCTTCAGTGTGAAAGATCTGAAATGAACACCAAGGCATTCTTGACTTGGGAATGCACATCAGATCAGATTCTTTTCCTGTGCAACTGAACAAAGGGGATAGAGAGATGAGCCACCACCTCAGTAAACAGAATATCATGAAACTACTCTGCTATGAGCTTTGTTTCTCTGAACTAGTGTTTTGCTAGACTTCTTCCATTTCTTTTAACGTTTAATGACTAGAATATAATGCAGGAAAAAAACTTTAAAAAGTCTTTAGAAATATTGTTCTCTTCTAATCATTCAAACATATCTCCCCCCCTCGCCGAACAAAGAAAGAGCACCGTTCTGTCTCTTCCCTATTAAACAAATTAATGGACAGCTCAGAGGACAATTTTTTTTTCAAAGTATTATTTCTCTTAAATACTCAGTGTTGAACATTATAAAGATTAATCAGAGTGCTTCCTTGTCACTAAAACAGTGATTAGAAAAGTATGGGGAACACCTAAGGCTAGAGCTGAAACACATCAATGATGAAGCCACCTCGGGGTTGCATTTAAGCCTCTGTCCACATGACAGGGAACAATGTAAGCTTACACACATGCCTTGGCAAGTGGGAGGGGCAACCAGTTTGGAAAACTGTCTTATTGCATCCCAGTCGCATCACAATATCTTAATTTTTAATGTGAAGTTTCAGAAAATGTCTGGTTACTTAAAAATACTTAATAAAATCAGTGATAAAGTGTCTATGTGGTGCTTATGTATGATACTAAATAATCATGTATTAATTTATTTAATCTTTACAATGCTGTAGTTCAACTTTAATAGCTAGATTTACTTTAAAGCTAGAGAAGTTTGGTTACTTGTACAAAGCCACTCAATTGTGGATGATGGGGCCATAGTACAAGCCCAGCTTCTACAACCTGTGCCCTTAACCACTCCCCGTTCATTGAGCCTGAGCAAGGAAAGAATCAATCTAGCATATCCACTTTTGTGAACTAAAAGGGGAAATGACTATAGAAGCCTAGAATGTCATAGACAAGTCATCAGAGTATAGAATCATAACATTTAAGGGTACAATTTATGAAAAGGTTTATGTCAACGAATCCACATGACAAACCTATATTTGAAACCACTAACTGTATTAAAACCCTATCAAATTACTTGGTGTCACGCAAACAAAGCTTACATGAGGATTTATTTGTTAGATGGCAAGTTATGGTAATTATTTGTTAAATTATGTAACACTTTCAAAGTTGATTGTTGGATCCCCTCTGCTCTATGACACACTGGTCTTACTCAATAGTTTACAATTTACTGTATTTCTCTTCCTACTTGCTCCCAAGGTCACAAAGCATATACTTTCCATATTCATCGTTCTACAACTTAAAAACTATGTCATTAAATATAGGATAAGTCTATGACAAATGTTTGCATTTGCACATAAGTATTTTATGATTTCTCAGTCAATTCTTATTTTACACATGAATTGCTAAACAATGGTGAGCTGGTATTGTTAATTTCTTAAGACGTACATTACATTGATTTTCTTGCATGGGATTGTGGTTAAGAGAACAAATCTATCTGCACTTCAGTCCCAGCATTGCTGCTGACTAACTTTGTGGTCTAGACAGATTGCTTCAGTTCTCTTTTGTTAACTTCCTCACAGAGAAACTGAGGACTATTTTACACCTTTCAACATCTCACCTAAAAGATTAAATGAGTTCATTTCTGTAAGAAGTATGACACACACTACCTGACACACAACTCAATATTGTTTCCACCACCATCTGTACCATCATCGCTGTCATCATCCCTGTCTTACCAGCACCACGCCTAGCATATGGTAGGCTTCCCCCCAAAACAAAAATGTATTGAGTTCCTGAAATCATATGACAATTGTGTCTTCAATCAAAATGTTCACAGCTATTGGATGGCACTTTGACACATTTGCTCATGGTTGTAGATAGGGATTTCAGCGTCAAGGACTGATTTTGCACAAGATTGGTTTTATTTTATGTAAAAGAAGTGTGACCAAAGTAGAAAAAATTGTCACCCAGACTGTTTAGATTAATGGAGACAACACTAGAGGGAGCTGTGGCCTCAAAGGTTACTAATAATTAAGCTACCATGGGGCGGAGCTATAACACTTTCCTCTTTTAATAACTCAGTATGGAAAAGTAATTCACTGGAAAGAGAGAAAGCAAGCGGGAGGGGGAACAGAAGAAGGGAGAGAGGGTGGGAAGATTTCTAGAAGCTTCTTAGAAAAAATAAAGTACCAACATTTTCAGGGCTTTACAGAACACTCTCCTACAGTCACTCCGTCGCTACAGCATAGTTGTTACCTGTGTCTTTGCTCTGGTGCTGTACAGAGCAGCCGTCCTTCCCATGGCAGCGGCACTTGGTATGCAGAAGAAAAACGAAGGGATCACATTGCTGAGGCCGTGGGCCAAAAACTCCTGCAAGATTAGTAATAGGAGACCATATCATTTTTTTTTAAACCACAATCAACGTCTATAATCCCAGGTACAATATGTAAAAGAATGAAGTTTCTTTATGCCTAGCTGCTTTTCTCCTCATCAGCTGAGATGTAACAGTTGTAATAAAAAAAACTAACATTTATTGGGTGCTTACAATGATCTGAAACTTCTAAGTGTGCCTTCAATCCTCATAAAAACCTCATGAGGAAATACTGTGTATCAGTGCTGTCCCTTGCCCACTTTTCTAGTATCTTCTAAGACACTCCAATTGGACTTCTGTTACTGCCCTTTCATCACTGACCTCTACCATATGAACTCCGATGGTTACTTCTTACCTTAATTGGCATAAAAGAGGCATTTGATACAGCTGCTCATTTCATCCTTCTTAAAGGACTTGACTTCTAGGACCTCGTATTATCTTGGTTTCTCACTAGCTCTGTGGCTACCATGTCTTAGTTTCCTTTATGGTTCTCTGTTATCTAACCACTTGCAAATATTGGACCATGCCTCCAGTGCATGTACATCTTAACTACCCAAATATACGCTGACAGCTCCCAAATTTACATCTTCTGTTTGGACCACTTTTCTGAACTTCAGATTCCTACAGCCAACCTGCTACTCAACAGTGACATTTGATGTCCAATGGGAACTCAGTCTAACTAATCTGACCTACAGGTTTCTACCATCCCATTGAGTCCTCCCAACTTCTAGGACCAAAGCTTTACAATTATCCATGACTCTTTCTGGAACCATCCTTTCCTACCCTTCATATATTCCTTTCATCACTAGATCTTAGTTATAGTTCACATTTCACCTGGATCTCTACAAACCCTCCTAACTAGCTTGCCTGTTCCTGTTGGTATCAGCGAGTGCAAACAAATATCCCTGTCCTCAGAGACCTGAGGTTTTGCTAAGGGAAGGCAGACATCAAATAGACAAATATAGAAAGTGGTAATAGGAATATGGGGAGATCTGGAGTTTGAGGTTTTCAATAAGCAGAGAAGGCCTTCTTGAGCACTGAGCATCTGAGTAAGGCAATTATGCAGGTATCTGAAGGAACAGGATTCCTAGGAAATGCAACTATGAGTGCAAATTCTCTAGCCAGAGACCTGACTAGTGAGTTCAAAGGAGAGATAGAAAGTGCAGCTGGGACAAATAATAAGAGATTAAAAAAAATCAGATAAGAAATGGGAGAGATGCAGATCACATACATTCTTACAAACCATGATCACGAGGCTTCTAATCTGAGGAGGCCCTGGGAATTTTTGAGAGGATGAAAGATTTGAACTTGGTGTTCACTATTTTATCCCCTTGTACCTAAGCCAGTGTCAGTACATATGTGTAGAATGACTAAATGCACCTTTCACAGAAGATGGACGCACAGAAAGCTAAGGTAATACAGCTTCAGCATGAGATCTGTGCACAGGCAACTCGGCGCTTGTGGCCATTACACCTCAGCTTCTTTAGAACCACACAGGGCTGTGGGGTCCTGGGGCCTGAAGAAGACACTGGCAGAACTAGAACAGCACAACCAGTACCTATGTACTCTCAGACACTCTAGGGACAGACCCTCTAGGGTCTCTTACTAAGAGGAATAATGCTGGTATTATTTTGAAATTCATACATTTTCAAAGCTAGAATTCAATAATATATTTAGATTTTCTCCTAAAATAAAATCAGAAAGGGGTATATGTCTTCCTTTAAAAATGTTTTATAAGGCTCAGTACATAAAGGTACTTGTCACCAAAGCCGATGACCTGAGTTCAAGTCCTAGGACCCACATTGTGGAAACAGAGAACCCACTCCTGAAGGTTGTCTTCTGACCTTCACGCATACAGTGTGGCGTTTGTGTGCACATAACATAATAGGTGGAATTTTAAAATATCTATTAAAATAGAATCATGAAACTTAGATTATCTGCTTTCTATGAATGACAGAGATTTTTGTTTCTACCCACTCTTGCTAGTCTTCTGGGAAAGTTATATCTTTCAAAGGCTTGGTCTTTTCAGGATCTGAGAGTACACAGAACAATCATGTAGTGAGAGTGGAAAGGGGAGAAGGCACACTCCACCTGGTTGTCATCAACTGAGTATTTGAATTTTTTGGCAGATCCTTGAGCAAGAGACAGTGAGGCCACATAGCCTACAAGGGCCACTCCAAAAGCTTCAGTGAGCACCGCAGAGAGAATGTTCATCGGGGGTGCTCGAGGAGGAGGAATCCTGTGGAAAGACAGACTGTGTTGAGCTTTTCAACCTTCATGTCATTTCTGAAATAGCTTGCCTTGAATTCCACTGTATTAGTGTCTCCGAAGTTTATAAGGAATAAGTGAAACCCTCCAGAGAAAAATCAAGCAGCCTTGCCCTTAGAAGCCCTGCATTTTCAACATTATTTAACAAAAAAGCAAAATTGTAAGAAACACCACAGGGCCATGCATCTAACTGACATTCAGCCAGGGGTTCAGGTCACACCACAGAAATTCTGACTTGACTGTAGGAAACCAAAGCAAATCTGGACCATTCTTTCATTTGAACCTTTGCACATGCTTATCTGGATGGCATCAGAGACTGTAATTCCTCCTTCAAATGACGTAATGCTGTAGGCACTAGTTCACAGTTGGTGGAGTTCTTGAGCCAATTCCTAAATATGCCATTTGAGTTCATTATGGTAATTACATTTTTAACTCAGTCCTTTCAGCTAACTATGGCTCATGCATGTTAAGAAAAAAATGTAGAATGATTCCATCTACTCTATTGTAAAATATACAACCACCTTTAGCTTCATCTCAAAAATAGTCTTTAAAATATTTCTCAGATATTATCTAACTGTTATGCATTGTGTTTAATTGTCCCTTGAAAATACTTAAACCAAATGACCATTAATGTATCCCTGATCATTTTAGGGGGCTTAGCCTCCCCCCAAAAAACACCTGTGATAAAAGTTAAAGAAAAAGGGAAGTGACTTCATTTCATACCAATTTCCTACATAGAATGTCAGTAGACTATCAGCCCTCTCTTCTTCGCTATTTTACTTAATTTCCCCCAACGCCCAAACAACTCACCATTACAGCCATTGTAGAAAGGAAAAAATATTTTGAGGAAGGTTACAAAGAGAGTGACTGAGCTGGGATTCAGTCTCAGCTCTTTCTTTGCAAAGTCATGCTCATTTCATGATTCCTTGACTGGATATTTCTGGAAAAGAACTCCAAACAAAACTGAACCCAGGCAGTGGAGGAGAGGCATGACTTTCTTTTACTCACATACTATCATTTACTCCCAAAGCAAACTGATTTTTATGGTAATCCCTAAAATACATATTATACAAAACTTGAAACAAAGTAATTTAATTTTTATTTCATGAAAATTGAGTGTGCTTAATTAATGACAATGACTTGACCAAAAAGTAAACAATACCCTAAGTCTCAAAGGAAAAGCAGAGGGACTTTTAGAAAATTCAAGTTGATTTAGAAAACCCTCGTTTGCCTGTACCTACATAGACCAGAAAAATACAGAGTGTTCTTTTAAATTATCCTTTTTAAACTCTGAGGATTTTTCTCCTAATCCTTTGTTCTAGGGAGATGAAAGATTGAAACACAGAGAACCCAACAACTCTAACTTAGTCTCAGATTTCTATGAGTCCCCTGTAGAAAGGGGACAAACTCAGAAGACACCTCTCCCCAATATATCTCCAGCTCTTTGCAGCTTATTTTTGGAAAGGCCGTTTGTATTTTTACAGTGAACATATCCTCCTTTGTTAAACATTCTCTTAGGGTCTAGAGGAAGGCTTCAGGAGATGGGAGCCAGGCCTGCTTCAGCCCCTCTGGAACTCTGTACTCGGGCCCGTGGGCCTCACATGACGCTTGTTTGCCTTTATCATAATTTCAGGACAATAAAAATAGCCACATGAATATTTCTGACTGAAGAACTAAAGCAACTAAATCTAAAAACATGTCTCTAATTTGTAAATTCCATTACTTTTAAAGCATATCTTTGTAAATATTTTCTGAATCTTTTCCTTAAAGCAGTACGGTTTATTGAGTACAGGTAGGCTTTAGTCTAGAAAGTTACTCTTTCTCTTAACATGTTGGTTTTTATCATTAATACTAAGAAATAGTTAGAATAGAATTTTGCCTCATACAGTCACATAAAGAAATGAAATGCATACCCACCCAGGCCCAGTCCCTTCCAAGGTCAAAAACAAATACTCAAACACACATGAATAGAAAGACTACATTACCCTTTTGGAATATGACCAACTACTTCTAATCCATATGTGTTTTCCATGTCGGTACAATAGCAAGCAAATGATGCAGTAATAATCTGTGTGGTTTGTTTGAAAAAGAAAAACAATATATATGTTACCAGCTGCCCTTCAAACATCTTAAAACCATTTTTAAAAATTCTTATTCTGTGCTTCAGGATTTCCATTAATTAATGAAATACTAAAACTTCAGTCAGTTGTGGTATCGCATATCTAATCTTAGCACTCAGGAGGCAAAATAAAACTAAAAGTCAGGGGAAGGGGGGCAGAGAAGATGGCTAACAGGTGAAGATAGGTAGGATGAATAGCTTCTGATGTCCCATTGCACCATGGGATAACCACTGTTGACAATGACTGATTGTATATATCAAAAGTCTTAGTAGAAAGGATTTAGAATGTTCCAGTACAAAGGAATGCAAAATGTCTGAGGCAGTGGATATGTCAGTTATTTTTATCTGATCATTAAGCCTTGTAAACATTATTACAGTGTCACATTGAACCCATAAATATGTACAATTACCTTGTGACAAGTACAATTTTAAAATTCTATTTATAAAAATCAGAAAAATCCCTCTAAGTTTTCAAAGTACGTATTTAGAATCTTGTGGCTTTTCTAAGATTCTGTTTCACACCAACCCAGTTTTGTCCAATTTTGATGGCAAGTAGAACACAAAATATAGGGGCGGGATGCATGCATATATGTACAGAGATACTGCGTGCGATCCAACCTGACTGCTTGTCTTTCATGAATGAAGGGGTGCTTTGTAATAATACATTTTCCCTCTCTGAGGACAACCTCCCAGGATCTTTAAGTGTTGCATCAAAAGTCCTAGTCTGGGGGTTGGAGAGATGGCTCAGCAGTTAAGAGCACTGACTGCTCTTGCAGAGGACCCAGAGTCAATTCCCAGCACCCACATGGCAGCTACAAACCGTCCTTAACTCCAGCTCCAGGGGAATCTGATGCCCTCTTCTGACCTCCATGGTATTGCACAACATGGGTGCACTCACATACGTGCAGGCAATACACTCATACACATAAAACAAAAATAATAAATAAAATATTTTTAAAAAATTCCTAGTCTGTTAGTAATCAATGCTGATTTACAGCCTCCTTGAGTATTTTTTAATTTGGGGCTTTAAGACTCCTTTAAATAAAGCATGTGTTTCCCAGTCTGGAGGGTCGAATGATTTTTAAATTGTCCCCCCGAAGTCTCAGACACCCATCCTGATGCTGCCAACATGTAAGCAATGTTACTAGTTCTCTGCCCACAGCCACAGTCATCATGTGTGTGGTACATATATGTATGTGCATATTTGCATGCATTTGCACACATGTGTGGAGGTGCATGTGCACATGGGTGTGTATTCATGTGGAAGGTGAAAGTTGATGGTGATTGCTTTTCCACCTTATTCAATGAGGCAGGGTCTCTCAGTCAAACCCAGAGAGCCTCAATGTATCTAATCTCCTTAGCCAACTTGCTCTGTGGATTCCCTGTCTCCATCTTTAAAGGCTGGAGTTACAGACAGGCTGCTTACCCAGCTGGCATTTGTGTTGTTTCTGAGGATTCAAACTCTAGCCCTTACGCTTAAGTAAACACTGAACCATATTCCCATGGTCATCTTTAAACACGTATTGGAGCCAGTTCAACCTTTGTTTTAATTAATCACGCCACCCAAATATTTTCCATCCATTTTCCTATTCTCCTTTTTCTTCTGATGTTTTTAATAGATAGCAGATTGTCCAGGTTGGTTGGCCTAATGTTTGCTTTTTACACCACATGAATTCCTGCTCCCTGGACAACTTGAGCCAAGTCTTTTGGTTAAAAACCTAAGTAGAATTTTTTAAATTTATTTTTATTTTATTTTTATTTTATGTGTATGAGTGTATTGCCTGCATGTGTGCAAGTGCACCTGTGTTGTGCTATGCCCACAGAAGACAGAAGAGGGCATTGAATCCCCTGGAACTGGAGTTATAGATGGTTGTTAGCCACTATGTGGGTTCGGGAATTCAAACCCAGTCCTCTGCTACAGCAACCCATGCTCTTAACCAATGAGCCATCTGTCCAATCCCCTAAGTAGGATTTTAAGAGATGCTAATGAACATAGTCTATATAAGTTCTTTTGACCTACAGTCTATATCATAATTTCATCCTTTGCTTTGGGTTGTGGTGAAATTATATTTAAAATCCTACACAGATAAAACAAAGACCACCACCAAGTTAGGCTACTATCAGAATAATCTGTGATGGGAGCTGGAGAGATGGTTCAGCAGTTAGGAGCACTGGAAGCTCTTCCAAAGAACACTGAGTCGATTCCCGACACTCACATGACTCCTAACAACCATCCCAACTCCAGTTCCAGGTAACCTGATACCCTCTTCTGGCCTCTGTAGGTTTGCATGCACATGGTGCACTTACATACACACAGGAAAAACACTCATACACATAAAATTTAAAAATTTAAAAATTAAAAAGAACAATCTGTGAGGTAATGTAAAAACTAATTTTATCACCTGAAATGAGACTTGAGGACACTTCTGTGGACTAATGGAAATGAAATTATTAAAACCATATAATACCTGTTTGGAATGATTTGTCTTGGTAACAGAGATAAACCAATTATATACTTACAGCACAAATTGTCCATATACATGGCCAGAGAAAAAGTATAAGAAAATTACATTAAAATATAAGGAATTTCTAACAATTAATGCTCAGTGACAAATAGCATTTTATAGTTTTATTCCTACCTGTGCATTTCTGTTAATATTAAACTGAATTTGAAGACATTTCTGAAACATCAAATGGGCTTAAAAGCAAAACAGTATTTCTTTAAAAATATATTTAGGGGCTGGAGAGATGGCTCAGTAGTGAAGAACACTGGTTGTTCTTGCAGAAGACCCAGGTTTGAATCCCAGCACCCACATGACAACTAACAACTGTTCATAACTCCAGTCCAATAACAGCTCTAAACAGGGCTGGAGAGATGCTCAGCAGTTAAGAACACTGTTCTTGCAGAAGACCTGGGTTTGAATCCCAGCACTGACATGGCAGCTAACAACTGTCCCTAACTCCAGTCCCAGGGAATCTGACAGTCTCTTCTGACCTCTGTGGGCATTGCATGACACGGGTGCACTTCCCTACATGCAGGCAATACACGCATACACATAAAATAAAAATAAGAAATAAAATTAAATATATATTGTTTTATGCATATGTATGTGCCTGAGTGCACCACATGTGTGCAGGAACCCTCAAGGGTCACAAGAGTGCATCGGATTCCCCTGGAACTGGAGTTACAGATGGTTATGAGCCATGATGTGGGTGCTGGGAACCAATCCCAAGTCCTCTGCAAAAGTATTAAATACTTTTAATTGCTGAGCCATCTCTCCAGTACCAAAAAACATTCTTGAGGGCTTATCAAAAAAACAAAAGGCAAGAAAACTTTCCGGTTTATATTTTAAAATTACGTAACTACTGTGATGGAATAGCACGGTCTAAGTCGCTGAATTAGTCACTGAGGCCGCATTCTACTTCTTTGTTGTACTCCTTTATCACTGAGCTACTTTTATCAGTTGAGCTACTGGTTTCTTTTCAGTATTTTATTAAATATCATGTGTGTATATGGCCAGGGACTCCCATAGACCTGGGCAGGAGGGAATTGGGCTCCAGGTAAGCCTAATGCTTCAGTGTAGCCTTCCTCCAGCTGTACCTTCCCATAAGATGGAAGCTTTGTGGAATAAGAGGAGATGCTCAGCATAGATTTGTACCCCTATTTCTCATCTCCACTGCAGAAACTCAGGTATCATTTTTCCTGCCTAAGTGGCATCTAGCCTGCTTACAGATCCATCTTCCGATGGTCTGTCCTAGTAGAATGACCCAAGGCAGTCTCAGGGACACTTGTGTTGGTGCAGTGGGCATGTTCAAAAATTGACACCGGCAGAGAGGTATCCACATGTGTATATTGGAGCCCTTATAGATGCAATGGGGCTGGAGTGTCAAGGAAGGTGACCTAGACTGGATCTCCTCATGCTGCTGCATTCTGGCAGACTCAGAAATCTGAGAAATCTCTGTCCTGACCTGGCTTCCAAAGTCATTAAGGTAAAGAACAAATAAACAAATGAATCAAAACTAAAACAAAATAAGGCTTTAAGATTTTGATATAACCTTTAGGTATGTAGGCCTGCCAGTACTTTTGCCTGGGGTATTGCAAATTTTATACTTTAAGAATATCTTTCCTTTTATTTTAAGAATGATTTATTACCAATTTTTCAGAAAATGCAACTGTTTTATTACTAGCTCAAGGGCTTGTTTTTCTAAGATGCAATAGGCATTTCTTAATATCTTCAGGACTTTGAGATAAGATAGTGCATTATATATTTTGCTGTGAAAATTAAGAAGCACAATATGCTACAAACTCCCGTCTTCTTGAATTTGATGTGCACACACATAGAGAATATATATATTTCAGGTAACTTAGCAAATTGTCAAGAATATGGCCTAACTATGAAGAAACCCTTCCCACCTGGTTCTACTGGTAAGTCATATTCTTCAGAATAAATTTCCAATGTGGTAACCTTAATAGATATATATTTCTATAATATTTCGATGGTCTAAAGGGATATTTGAATTGGTAAAGTTATTTAGGTTCCATTTATAATGTACATGCATAAACCAATGACCATTAAAGCTATTTAATGGTACATAGTGGACTGAAGCTAGTCCGTGATATGCAGTAGACTGTGGCTCTATTAGTAGTTCATTGTCAATATGAAAGTGCTCCAAGGAAAGGCTCTTAAAGTATTTAAATGTATTTTTAATGCCACAACTCTTAGAAGCAATTAACAATATGTTGGTTTTTCAGTCAAAACAAAACAATTTTTTGGCTGTCGTCGTTGTTTTGAACCAGTCCTGGCCAATGAAATTCCTGAGCATCTTCTTCAGAGAGGTAAAACTCTATCAGTAACAAAAGTATCAACAAACTTTCCCAATGCTAAGGAGTATTTGTCAGTACTCAAGAGTTCTATGCATGTCATAGAAGCATCATAGCAATAGGACGAGGACTGCCTTACTCAGTGGCATACTCAAGATCTTTGGAGACTCACTCTTAGATGAATCTCCGTATAAGATCTTAGGCCACATATTCCCTTATTTATATAAAAAATTAACAACATATGGGAAATGCTGTACAAACTGAAAACACATGTGCCTCCTTTTTAAAATTATTGACTCAAAACATTTCTAGTTCTTACATTAAGGTATTGCCACGCAAATTAGCCTTTCATTAATGAGACACAGGGGTGGCTGCGGGTTACTGTAGACAATATAATAAGCATCTGCAGATTTCATATGCATCTGCATTTATGGCAAAAAGCTAAAGGTCGATTGCATACTTACCAATACTAAATCGACAGGAAGAATAACTTTGATTTTTCGTTTAAACTGTTCATTCAGCTCTTTAACCAGAACAAGGATGATGATGCTCAGCAGGGATAAGAGCAATGCTTCCAGTTGGACAGACTTGATGTTCTCAAAAACGTATGCATAAATCTACAGTAATGAGAAAGAAGCAAAATTCAGGGTCACCTACAGAATACCAATGTGGAAATCTGGTCCTAAGGAAGCTCAGTGATGTTTTATAAAAATGCTCTAATCCTGAGGGATGGAAAGCTAAGGAGAAGGATGAGTGCAGAGGAGAGGAAAAAGCTACATTTGCACACACAGAAGTGCTTTGTCTTTGATTCTTCCATCAAACTCAGGTCTGCACCTTGTTACATAATGACACTACTAAAGAAAATGACTCTTCTGACTGACTTCTTGTCACTTGAATGGAATCCTACCACTCTTCCAGATTTGCCAGAACCAGACACACATATAGCACAGATACACTTAGAGAAATCATACACACAAGTACACACACACATATGCACGCATATATATGCTACACACAAAGGAGTCAAGAGCTGGTATTTCATTGACATGAGACATTTGGTTTACTGTAAACTGTTACCATGTTCTCAGTCATTCAGCATTTGTTTATCACCATGTATTTATGACAGTGCTAGATTGACAATGGTTAACAATTCAGAAACAACCTTAGTATTCACAGGCCTCATAGTATAGTGTAGGCATTGCTAGTAATCAATTAGTGTATCATGATGCTACAGATGCAGGACAGGTACCTGAATGTGTGAACAACAGAGGGAGCCCTTCACAAACCAGATAAATAGGAACTACCAGGCTACAGATAGGAAAGAGGTAGAGGAAGGAATCTGGGGGACATGCTTTGCCTTAAGACCATGTTTATGAAACTTAGAGCACAGACTATGACAGAAGGAATGGATTACTTCTGAAAAAAACATGGTCAAGCAAACAATACAGGGATGAAGAGATGGCTCTGGTGGATCAGAGTTGAATCCTCCAGAACCACTTAAAAGAGCCACACAGTGGCATGTGCTTGTAAACCCAGGTGCTGGGGAGCTGGAGACAGAAGGATCCCCAGGACTTGTTGGCCAGCAAACAGAAAAACTGTTGAGCTCTAGGTGCAGTAATAGACCCTGCCTCAAGAAATAAGGCAAAGGGCACCTAAGGAAGACACGCCAACACTGACCTCTAGCCTCCAGATGCATGTGTGCCTATAGAGAGGCACATGAGCATACGCTAACAAATAAAACACAAATAAAATAAACCAATACTATGATGCGTCTTTAAAAATCAGCAAGACTTGGAAATTATGTTAACATCATTGCTTGTGGGGCTGGAGAGATGGCTCAGCAGTTAAGAGCACTGGTTGTTCTCCCAGAGGATGTGAGTTCAATTCCCAGCACCCACATGGCAGCTAACAACCATCTGTAACTACAGCTCCAGGGAATCTGACACCCACTTCTGGCCTCCCTGGGCCTTGAATGACATGGGTGCACTTACATACATGCCGGCAAAACACTCATATGCATAAAATAAAAAACTTTTAAAAATTTGTTTGCATCTATAAGGATGGTATAATAGTAATACATTAATACAAATCAGTGCTGATGACATGGGATGATCTCATTTGGCAGAAAAGAGGAATAAATTTCAGAGTAACATAAAGGAAAAAAAATAAAATTAAAGCACTTATAACCATTAGGTTTACTAGCATTAAAAAGAAAGAAAATATTTTAAAGAATCCTAAATTGAGTGTCAAGAAAAAATAATTAATCTAAATCTAAATTTTGTTCTATATACACTTGGGATCTTCAAGTCTCTTGATCATAATGAATATGGATTTTATAAATTCATTTGTATTTATCCACAAAACATTTCTCAAGTCTTATTTCAGGTGATAAAATAAGCTTTACTCTCACAGGTTATTCTTATAGTAGCCCAACTTGCTGCTGTTCTTTCCTCTTTCTATTTAGGATCTCAAATATAATTTAACTGCAATCTGAAACAATTAGTCATATATTATACAGGCTGTAAGTTAAAAGTAATTATAGAGACTAAAACTATGTCTCTTAAAATCCTTAGGTTTCCTAACCAAAAGATTCATCACTTGTTATCTAAGAACAGGAATATGTCTGTGGTGTAAAAGGGTAACATAGGCTATCCAACCTGAATTTTACATATTGAACATGAGCTCTCACTTTCTAACAGTTTTGATAAAGAGAATATAGTGAAGCCTCACTGGGTGAAAGCAATGAGGGTAATATCAGGTTTTCCAAACTGCACTTAACCTTACAGATAAAACAAAAATAACAAGCCACTAGTTGTATAATCAGATACATTTAGATGTAAACTATGGAACAGGTAGTTTTACTTATTTTTCATGAACACTACTGTATTTCATCAATGCTACTCTAAAGAAAGTTAGGCACCATCATACCATAGGTACATGAAGCACACATAATACTTTTGCTTTCACTTTGTATTGTGGATGAAAATTGTTCACAGCATTCCTACAAATGAAGGAACAGGGTCCAGTCCCCTTTTTACCCATGACTCAAAGCCCAGGACTGAAATCCAAAGTTCTTCTCAGTGAGATTTAGTCACCAGAGGAAGGGTATAGGCAGAGCACCAAGACAATTCTTCCAAAATTCATGCAGCTGCCTAGTGGTTTGAGGATAATTGAGATTCTTATTTGCCAAAAAAGCCAATCATCCACGTCTTAAAGCACTTTACTTTATTCTTTACGCCTTTTCCCATGACAGTGACTGCATAAAAAGAGGGGAACTATGCAAAGCTCCCAATCCATACCAGATTTTTATGTAATGTGCATTTTGAAAACATATGTTTGCAGTAATAAAAATGACCACCCCAGAATGAAAGGAATGAGAAGCCCTCAGGGTTTTATTGTCTGTCTAAATTAAACTATAGCTCATCAAGTAAAGCATGTCTTACAAGATGCCCCAGAAGAACATGGGGGGGTGCACAGAGGATCATTAAGACAAACATGAAGAAAACAATAGAAAACAGGCTGGTGACAAGTCATTCTAATGACTGTCATGTGGACCCACAGAGAGAAGTCACAAGCGAAACTGGCTCATAGGACAGGGTTGGACATAAGAATAGACACACACATTTGCATGCGATGTTTTAATAAAGTTCTAGGTATCCAAATCACACATTAAGTTTTCATTTCTACAAAAGAATCTAGTTGTCTCATGTTGTTGTCATATACTCTCTACCCAAGTTGATAAAAATTCCAACTAAGGATCATTACTTGCTTCTCAGAAAAACAAACATAATCTTATATCTGAACAGATGAACAAGCAAGCTCATCAGAACTGAGTGATGCACTTAATAAAACAGTTCCAATCATTCTGAGACTATAAAACCAGTTTTTATGATGACATAAAATGAAAATATTGATCTACATGAACAAATCATTATTTGAGATCTTTCAGATAATAAAAGTTACTTATCCTTGGGGCATGTGCTGCTACATATTATTTTAGTTAGATGTCAGGTTTATCTGAAGAACATTACAGATACTTCCACACATACAAAAACACATGTAAGTGTATAGTCATATGTTTTTATATGACTTGGCCATTTCTTTATAAGATTATCTGTTTTTTCAATGATGGATTCTCAACCTCTAGAGTGATATCTGGAATTAAACAGATAATCAACTAATGTTGTTGAGTGAATGGGTACCCCGTTCTAATATGGCAACAGAAACAATAAATCTCTAAACTGAATAAGAGCGAATCATGAATAAAATTCACTATAAGAGCAAAGGTTGAGACTCTTTGGTCAAAACTTAGGTTACAGCATATTACGATATACATATAGGTAGATGACAGATAGATAGATGATAGATAGATAGATAGATAGATGAGATAGATGAGATAGATGATAGATATATAGATAGATGATAGATAGATAAATAGATAGACAGATAGGTAGATAGATGATAGATATAGATAGATAGATAGATGATAGATAGATAGATTAGATAGATGATAGATAGATGATTGATAGATAGATAGATGATAGATAGATAGATAGATAGATAGATAGATAGATAGATAGATAGAGGGTGGGGTAGGCTGGGGAATGATAGATGATAGATAGATAGATAGATAGATAGATAGATAGATAGATAGATAGATAGATTATAGATAGGTGATAGATCTACCAATGTTTATTGGAGTTCTGTTTTGTGCAAGGCAATGAAATAAATATTAAAGCTACTACTGCAATGAATTACTAGTAATCCATCTTTGATACATTCAATGTGATTCAAATGATTACATAATTAAATAACTCAAATTGTATAAGAATGAAGGAAAATCAAAGGTAGAAAAACCTCATAGCATTTAATTCACCTAAAAAGCAAAAAGATAGATATTTCTTCCTGAGGGCACACTCGTTCAGTTGTTTTTAATTGCACAACTATGAATGGGGTTCTAGGGAAGGCCCTATATGGAGAAACACTTATGTAGAAAGAAAAATCCGTGTCTGCTGACAAACTTATGACACAAATATAAAGACTTCACATGCTTAGAAAATATTAACAAATGTTTAATCCCTAACTCCATTAACTAGAAATTCTTGCCACCCAAATATCTCTTTACCTAGCAATCTGGTTGTTTTAATAGTATAATGACAATGTTGATGCTTCTTCAATACTAATGATAGACTGGCTATAAAAGATCCACAAAGAACACCTGAATGTGTGCTTCTACGTCAAAGCAAACATGCAAACCCTGCAGTGTTATTTATTATTCCTGTGATAACTCTATACTAATGATCCTCCATAAATAAGGCTGCATTTCACTAAAGAAGCAACAGAGTGGTACTAAAGTCAGAAAGCTTGGCTAAATGTCAGCACATCACTTGGACAGTAGGTCTAAATTAATAACTTTATTTATGAGTCTTGATTATAAAGATATGATTTTGAGACAGTCATCAACCACAAAGCAAGGAATATTTTCATAAAAATAGTAACATTCATACATGCTTATTACATGTGCAAGATTTGCCCTGAAAATGCATTTGACATGATCTGTATACAGATATATGTCTATAACTATGGACCTTTTTTCTATATCTCTGTAAAACTGTCT